ATTTGTACTGTTCATAACACACCTGTGGCAAGGAGTACCTTGTGTGACAAAAGCAAAATAGCGCCCTCTTATATATTGATGAAAGGATTTACTAATAATTGAAAAACTACCACTTTCTTGTCACTTCCAATGAAAACAAGTATTAAGATCTTGTATGTATTGTTGCAACACATAGTAATGTGCATGAAAACAAGATGAGCTGAATTTCCACTGCATGTTTCCTTTAAGTTATGAATATTTTTATGTAAGAACAAAGGATTTCGAAATAAATCATTTCCAGTAAAATCAATTATTTTTATCTTCAAGTAAAAAAATACATCTTTAATGGTGTGATCAATTTGAGTAAGCATTCTATGTACACATGTATGCAAGTTATTTCTTGGTTGATGACGTCACTATTCAAAAACGGAAAGAGATGTTCATTGTAAAGTAAAATAACGTATGTATTCATAACACCCACCTTCCGGTTTGATGACGAAACAGTATTTGGAAGCAAAGGTGAACATTGTATTATGGATATCTTTTTTGGGCTAAGATCGACATGGATCAATTGAAAGAATTACATTTAAAATATGATTGTTTTCAAATTCTCATAGAAGTAACTTCTGGTCTGATGACGTCATGAATTTGAAACCTTGCCAAGTTATATGTGGTTAATCAAAGAATATCAAGGGGCGATGTGGTAAAATTTGAATGAATGGTTGTCAAATTAAAGAAAGCTCACACTATTTTATGTGCCGCTAGGGGGCGCCCTTTCGAAAGATGACGTCATCACACTGTTTCATTTGTCTGACATTCCTCACTAAACACTTTCCTAATTTGATGTGTGTAGTAAAATGCTTCTGCTTTTGAGTTATGTTCGGTTTTTATTGCACTTCCGGTAACACCAGAAGTGAAGGTCATGTGGTTTTGTGTCCGGGAACACGAAATGTTTCTCACGGCATAGTCTACAACCTCACGAAAAAACAAACACGATACTCTATTTAGTTTAAAAGATATAACGCAAACTATTTTGTCAAAAGTTGCCCTTAAATCGCTTGTAATTTGATACCTGATGGCGTCATGATGACGCAACAAAATTTACAACATCTTCGTTACATGGTACAAGTTCACATTAGGTTTCTGGATCATACCGTAAGCCGTTTGGAAGAAATTCTGCTTTGTTTTGATTTCAGGCTTAAGTCTTCATTTTAAATTCACCCAACTTTGACCTTCCGGTAGACCCGGAAGTGAAGGTCAAGCGAGTTCACGTACACGACAAAAAATGTTTATCGATTCATGGTCTATCCGATTACGAAATACAAACATCATTGATTATTTTGTTTAAGAGTTATAGGTGAAAGTAATTGATCACTTTTTCAGCTGAAATCGCTTGTAATTTGACACCCGATGACGTCATCATGACGTCAGAGTAATATGCACCACTAGGGATGAGGGTCGATATATATTGAAAGTTACAAGTTCATATGAGGAACGGTTTAGGAGAAAAGCCGTGGAGAAGTATTGTCCGGGAAAAAAAAGAAGATTTATCAGAACAAAAACAGAGAGTGGTCGGGTTGTGCCCGACCACTCAATTAATCGTAACAACTCATAACTGGCGTCATCACACTATTTTTTTGTGACTTACATTTCTCACTAAACACTTGCATAATATATATGTCGGTAGTAAAATGCTTCCGCTTTTGAATTATATTAGGTTTTCATTGCACTTCCGGCAACACCGGAAGTGATGGTCAAGTGGTTTTTGTGTACGGGGACAAAAAAATGTTTCTCAAGGCACAGTCTACAACCTCACGAAAAACCGAACACGATACTCTATTTGGTTCAAAAGATATACATGTAGCGCAAACTAATTTGTCAGAAGTTGCCCTAAAATCGCTAGTAATTTGATACCTAATGACATCATGATAACGTAACAAAATCTATAACATCTTCGTAACATGGTGCAAGTTTACACTAGGTTTCTAGATCATACCGTAAACTGTTTGGAAACAATTCTGCTTTGTTTTGATATGAGGCTAAAGTCTTCATTTTGAATTCACCTAACTTTGACCTTCCGGTAGACCCGGAAGTAAAGGTCAAGCGAGTCCACGCACATGACAGAAAATGTTTATAAATTCATGGTCTATCTGATTACTGAACACAAACACTATCGATAATTCGGTTCAAGAGTTATAGGTGAAAGTAATTGGTCACTTTTTCAGCTAAAATCGCTTGTAATTTGACACCCGATGTCGTCATCATGCCGTCAGAGTAATATGTACCACTCGGGATCAGGGTCGATATATGTTGAAAGTTACAACTTCATACCATAAACCGTTTAGCAGAAAACCCGCGGAGAATTATTATCCGGAAAAAAAAAGAACCAAACAAAGAAGATTTTTGAGAACAATTCTAGACAGTGGTCGGGTTGTGCCTGACCACTCAATTAATCATAACAACTCAAAAGAGTGGTCGGGTTGTAACCGACCACTCAACTAACCTTAACTTATATGCATTTGCATAACCTCCATTTCTACTAGACACTGTATAACTTAACACTGTAAGAATATCACACTAGCAAATATTCTATTCAATTATTCAACCGTCTAGAGTACTACAATGAGTCCAAAACAAAAAGACATACTGAAATCTGCCTCTTGCATTTTTAAACAACAGTGATAACGAATCAAATTCATCCTATTTACATTATTGTTTTCATAAAATGCACAATGCCTTCAATGATCATCAAAATTTGCTCGAGATTGAGAATTACATACACTGGACAAATCCATGCGTATTCTATGTAGCAAGAACAATTAATACCGAATCTTTAGTTTACACTTGTTCAAACTGAAATCACATGAAGAATCAGCTTGTTTATGTACATTGTATACTAGCAAACAATTCCACTGTACAATTAATCCTGTTAGAAGTACATGTAGATTCAAAATACTTTAACAGTCCACATCTCATACTCAACTTGTACATTTTATGGCAATGTTGCAAAAATAAATACACTTGACATCTGGCAAAACTGAGCTTCTGAATTATTAGACTGGTCACCTGAACAATCTTTAGCGTTAACCTCACACCTACTGCCAACTGTTTTTTGGGGGTCAAATTGTATAACCAATGTACTGAATCAAAATATGAACACTCATTAACATTCAGTTTCTAACTTACATATTCCAAATCAATCAATACAAGAGCTCTGTTCTCAATTAATGACTTGTGATCATACAAACATTTTTACATGTGTAAAAGCTGAGCACAAAAAATATACTTAGCACAATGATTCATCTTTATATTACAAATAAGCTGCAAGTGTCACTGACTCAAAGAGTTTTTTGAAGTTCCACTCCAAGTATTTCAACTGTCAATTGCAAAGTTCAATGTCACTGCAAACTTGATCCTTGAAACAGATTTTCGCGACAGTCAATGTCTTGTCCTTGTTCCTGAATCGCGAACATGAATGCAACTAGCTGGCTTGAGGGTTCCATTCACAATTTTTTTGCATGTTTGAAACAAAGGCATAAGGGTAGAGGCAGCGCTTGGCTCGCACCTCATTTGAAATCACAACATGTGCAAATCAAATCTCCATTCATACACTGCAACTTTGGCTTGAACTCTGCAAATATATCCTGCCTCAACTGCTACTTGTAAGACGTAACATCATCAAATAAACTGCTTCATCAGGAAGAAAAGCATTTTTTTTACAGTTCTTATCTGCCTTTCCCATACATCACCGTGATGGGACCCTCCAGGTGGATTGAAGGTCCACTGAATGTTCCTCTGCAGCAATCTGTTGTTCAGTTGAGCCTGGTTCCACTTATTGATTTCTGTTCTAAGTTCTCTTTCAGCACCCACAAGATTGGTGCCATTGTCCGATCTCATCTCTGTCACATTTTCCCGGCAATCAATGAATCGCCGGATAGCATCAATGCATGAGTCCGTGTCTAGGGAGTCAGCCTTCTCAATGTGCACAGCTCGTGAAGCTAGGACAGGTGAAAATCACACCATACCGCTTTAGCACACTGCAACCTCTTTTCACCTCTAGTGGCCCAAAGTAGTCCATTCCTACTCTGGTGAAGGGGGACTCATCAGGTTTGATCCTGTCTGCTGGGAGGTCAGCCATCTTCTGCTCCATGACTTTGGCTCTGTACCGTCTGCACATCACACATTTGCCGACTATTTTTCTGATTGCGGAGTTGGCACCCGAAATCCAATATTTCTGTTGAAGACTTGCAAGAACATGGTCCTTCCACTATGTCCGGATGTCTCATGAATGCGTCTTATGATCAAGGTTGACACGTGGCTGGCTTTGGGAAGGATGATGGGGTGCTTAGCATCAACTGGCAGTGAGGCCCTGCTCAATCTTCCTCAAACTCTTAACAGCTCTCTGGGTCAACTCTGTAGATGGAACTGGTTTTCTTCACTCCTTTGATCTTTTGTCTGCTCCCTCCATCATCTTCTGTACTCTGGGCAAGGGCTCTGATCTCATCTGCATATGCTTGGCTTTGAACATGTTGCAAGATTTTCTTCTCTGCTGCTTGTAGTTCTTTCAGAGTTAGTCCACCCTGCGGAGTTTGTTCAGCTTTCTGGGACTCGGGCTGGCCTATCAACCATCTTCTGAATCTTAGCAACCAGCAAACTGCCTTCTTCAGTCGCACCCAGTCTGAGTAGTGCTCGATTACTCGATCCAGGCTCTGTTTCTCCATCTCACTTGGCTTGATGGTGCAGGCATGAACATTCTTCTTAACCTCCGAGTCTTCTCCCACTTCAACTGCACCAAGCTCTGGTGTTGTGGGCCACTCATCATGGCTGAAGTAAGAACCCTGGGCCATTCTTCCAGTCATCCATCTGTAGGAATTGCTCAACTCTCCTTCCCCTTGAACAGACATCAACAGGATTGAGTGTTGAGATTCAATGTGACGCCACTGCGTTGGACTTGAGCCGTCAAGGATAAATGCCAACCTGTTGGCGAGGAATGTCTTAAATCTGGTTGTTCTACTGTTGATTTACCGTAGCACAGACATGCTATCGGTCCAGTAGGTGTCATCTACTTCGATCTCCAGCTCCTTCCTGATCATATGGTCAACTCTCACTGCTACTGTCGCTGCTGTTAGCTCCATTCTTGGAATTGTCACCTGCTTGAGTGGGGCGACCCGTGATTTACTCATCAGGAATGAACACTTGACTTCACCTTCATAATTCACCAATCTCAGGAAAGATATGGTGCCATAGCCCAGCTCACTGGCATCAGCAAAGTGGTGCAAGGTGACTGACTTTGGTTCTTCAAATCCATCTGGCTTCAGGCATCTTACCATCTTGAACTCCGCCAGTCTTGGGAGTTCCAACTGCCAATTCTGCCATTTCTTACTCAGATCTGGTGGAATTTCTTCATCCCATCCCAACTTCATCCGACATGCTGCTTGCAGTAATTGCTTGGCTGGAGGCACAACTGGTGAGACACATTTCAAGGGGTCGAAGACAGAGCTGACGGTAGATAAAATACCTCTTCTTGTCGGTGGTCTATCTCTCATCTCAATTTTGTATCCAAACTCATCATCTTCAATGGACCACATCATGCCAAGCGTTCTCTCAACGGGCAACTTCTCACCATCGATGTTCAAGTCTTTCCAGTTTCTGCCTCTTTCATCTTTTGGGATGTTCTCTAAGACTTCCTTCTTGTTGCTCACCCACTTTGTGAGGTGGAATCCTCCCTTGCTGCATGTTTCAGTCAAACCTTTGACAAGCTGGCCTGCCTTTGACACTGTCGGGGTTGAGCACAAACAATCAACGACATAACAATTGCGATGGATGATGTGCGCAATTTCTTCACATCCTGCATGATCATCTGCTGTCTTCTTCAAAGCGTAGTTTGCACATGAAGGAGAAGAGACTGCACCAAAGACATGTACTGTCATGCGGTACTCTGTCAAGGGTCTCTTGATGTCACCATTGTCCCACCATAACAACCTCAGCAGATCTCTGTCGTCTCTGGGCACCAAGACTTGGGAAAACATGCCTTCAATGTCAGACATGAGGGCAACCTGATCCTGCCTGAACCTAGTCAACACGGCCGTGTATCAACTGTTTATTGAGGGAGACACCTCTGTAGTCGGCTGTGCAGTCATACTCCACCCTTATCTTGTTTTTCTGTGGATGCATGACACCATGATGAGGAAGATACTGTGGCGAAACAGGGGTACAGGTATATGTAGACTTGTGTAGGAGTCTAGGTCATAGGAATAATTTATGCGCGTGATCTAGGACATCCGGTGCGTGCTTATAATGCCGAAGTGCGCGTTGACCAATCAGCAATAAATTGTGCTGCGTGATCAGGAGATTAATGATTCATGGCGTGCATTTGACCAATCAGTATCGCGTATTGGGAAGACTGTGCGCGAATTAGCATGCTTTAGCGTGGGTCCTGGGATCATCTCGTTAGTTCGCAAGATGGCGTCAATGCAGTAGGAACGCGTTCTGGTGCTGTTGCCAAGTCGCAAGAAGCCAAGCTTCGGGGTTCAGGGACGAGTCAAGTCGTGGTGCCGTTGCTGGGGTCTTCTTTGCTGTTGCGTACTCCCCGGTCGGGAGTAGGAGCTCATCTCTGACGGTGGACGCTCTGGTGCGGCTGGGTTCGGGAGTTGATGCTCTGGGTTTAGCTAGCAGTGAGCTAAGTGTTGTCTAATATATATTGAGTGAAGTTGTAGCTCAAGGTCTGTTATTCAGTGTCGAATGTCTAAGATAATTTGGGACAAAGATTTAGATGGAATACTAGTCGTGAAATTAAGGCTGATTATTGTGTCTTGATTAGTGCTAGAACAAAAGGGCTAGGAGTTATAGAACTTGGGTTGAGAGGCTGGTGGGACTGTGATTCGGTGGTAGATTGCTTGTCGTGGGTTGGACACCATTCGGTGGGGTTTTACGACTGAGGCGATCATTGCCGTAATCAGTGAACTAGCTAGCCTGACGAGTTTACTCCCTGCCGTGCTCTGAGCACTTGTGAGGGTTACCTGTTTTGTGTGAGGTTTATTGCACGTAAGGTTTATATTGTACATGTATAACTCACTCTGAGGGTAATTGGTTTCCCGTGAGGGTTATTGTGACCGCTCAGTTCATGTGAGGGTTATTTGGATTACATAGTACAGCCTGCTTTGACGCTGAATTGGGTTGAGGGTTACCTTTCCTCTGTGAGGTTTATTGGGATAGCTCAATCTGTGCGAGGGTAATTATTGGAACTGTGACAGGGATTATGTTTGTATAAGTTCATTATCATGTGGTGCAGTTGACCACTTGAGGGTTACCTAAGGCTACGTTTACTACAAAGGGTGCAGTTGACCCTTGTTACAAGCAGTGAGGGTTACTGTCTGTATGAGAGATATTCATCGCCTCGTAATTGCTGTTATTGTGCATTATTGTAGAATATTGTTAAGCTGCAATTATTTACAATAATCTATTGATGATTGAGATTCTTGAATAAATCCTATCGATAACCGTCTTTGGAATCACTAGTCTCTGTGAGGTTTACTCAGGTTCACTGTGAGGGTTACCTAGGTCTGCCGTGAGGGTTACCTGAATTCACCTTGAGGCCTATTGTGGCTACTTGTATATTGCTCTAATTACATTCAATTGATTACTCAATCACAAAACGGTGGTATATTTCCACCAAACGAACAGCCCCTAGGCTTAGTCCGCCGTTCGTTAATTGTCCCCCCTTGCGTATGGGTAGCCGCTCACCCGTTCGTTAGGCTAATAAATATTTTTTGTGGGATAATAGGAGTTGGCTAGAGTCCTGGGATAAATAAGACCAGTTTTCCCTGGGTTCCGCCAATCACCGGTTCCGCCACAAATAGTGTCAGGGGTCGGTTTCGCCACAATACCATAATCTGCCGTCATCCCTTCTTGCCTCTCCGTCGGGAACTTTCCCCATGTAACCCGTGCTAAGCATGGACTCCATGTAGCCTGTATATTCCTTCTGGAATTCTGGTTGTCTCTGGAACTTCCTTTGCAGATGGGCCGTGGGAGTGCAATCTTGTAATGGTCGCCAACCATTCTGATGGAGTTCTCCACCTTCTGGGTGAAGAGTAAATCCTGTCTGGACTTCTCTGGCTTGTCTTCTATGATCCTCTCATTGAAGTCATGATTGAAAAGCTTCTCCAGCTGATTATCAATGTCTGCTTTGGCTTTCACTGTTACTTTATGGGAGCTGGTTCTCTGTTGACCTTAATTTCTCTTTGACCCATAAACCTGCCAACCAAGGACTGATCGGCAGGTAAAGGGGCCACTGTCCTTGCTGTTTATGACTTCAAGTGGTTCCATCGCCTTGGGGACATTGTTTCCAATCAACAGCCCCACCTCTGCGTCAACATTTTGCAGCTCAACTCTGTCTAAGTACTGCCATTCCTTCAAGTCATCTTGGGTGAGGATGTCTTCTCTGACTACCGGGATTTGTGTCTGGGTGTAGACTTCTGGGAGACTGATGACTGTTTGACTCTGTAGGTCCGTTATCTCAAGATCTGACAACACACGACCCTTCACCACCTTCTCGTCAGTCAAAGTTTATACTTGTATGTTGACTGTCTTTCCTTTCTCACCAAGCCGGGTCACCACTGCATCAGCACAGAAGACTGCATTACTGCCGGAGTCCAAGAATGCATAGGTTTTTGTCTGCATTCCTGTCTTTCTTGACCTCAGGATGACTGGAACCACCCCTTCTTTGTGATTCAGTAGGACACACATTGTCGGAGTTTGTTAAACTGCATTTAACATTGTCCTTTACATGTACCTCGGTCTGTCCATTATAAAGCCGAGTTTGCTTTCCATCGACGGCACTGACTGGTGTAGCATCAGGCTGCTGAGGGCTTTTCCATTCTTGTGTAGTACTGTAGGATGCCACCGTCGACAAATGCTGCACTTCTGTCTTTTCTTACAGTCTCTTGCAAGATGTGATGATGCACGCATTCACCCAAAGCATAGCCCCTTGGCATGGCAGAACTCAATTCTCTCTTCATATGGCTTGCTGGCCAGTACTGCACAGTTCTCTATGCAATGGCTAGCATCACTGCAATAAATGCAGGCTCCACTGCTTCCAGTTTGTTCTGATTCACCACTCACAGTTGTGCTGAAACTGGTCTTGGCTGGAAACTTTGTTGCTCTTGGGTTCAATGGTGTGCTCGAAGGCCCTCACAAATGCATGGTAATCAAGCGGGTTTCCACTGAATGGCTGTATCTGTCTTTGGGGGAGGGATGATCTTATGTGACACTCAACCAACAACTCCATCAGTTGGTTTTGCTGTTTCATTGATTCCCCCTGTTGCTGAAGAAAGGATGTTAAGGCACCGGCACTCTCTTCATTTGGTTCTTCTCCACCACCCGCAGCACCACCCGGACTGGCTTCGGGTGTCGGTAACCATGGGTCAACCGTGGACAACATGACTTAATGATCTAGTTCATCCATTCTGGCAATTTATGCAGGGTAGGCCTACTCTGTACTCAGTTCTATTCTAAGTTCTGTGTATACTTGTAACTCAGTCTATGGAACAGTATTCCTCCCGTAAACTGGACATTTTTTTTCAACTGGTACGTGCCTATTTATGGGCCCTTCTGAAGTTCAGTTTGAAGCACACTTTTCACGTTTATTTGGTGGACAGGACTGGGCCTAAGTTGCCAACGCTTCAATTGTTCTCAGAAGAATAAACACAAGTTCACACACTGTTCATTCAACGCCCTCAATCAGTTCTATTTTCTTCAATATTGCCTTGCCTACTGTGTTCTTACAGTTTATGAGAAGCTCCTCTTATAACCAATAGCTCCAAAACACACACAAATATCCATAAGTCGAGAGAAAGTCCAAAAGAAAGCTTGTTAAAAGGTAGAAAAAAAACTTTAGTCCTCCACACTCCTATCACTCGCCATCCCATAATAATAACAACAAACTTTTCAGAGGGCGCTATAACTGTCTCAAACGGTGGATTTGGCACTAACACATATTGAGGGCAGCCTAAACAAATTCAACCTGAAGTAATGTCCACTAATACCAATATTAAAAATTAATAAAGTTCATTCACGGCTCTAGCCATGATTTTGATGAACAAGAAGGAAATATATCAGATAATTGGAACTCCTTAAAATCACCCTCATAACAAGATACGGGGTGTGGCTGGGGACTGGCTGGGGTTTGGGGTAAAAAGGGAGTCAGAGAAGTGATCTAGAGGAGGAACTTGTTCAAACTTTGTGATACTACAAATATTTAAAATAACAGCGTTGCTGTTGAAACCCCTCAGCCAGAGTCAAGTTATCATCCGGAAACCATTAACCTTTAACTCAACGTGGTGACCTTGACCTTTGGCCTTTGACCCCAGAACCAGTCCCAACATGCCTGTACCAATGGGAAACCCCCTACCGAAGTTAGACACCAACATTTCATTTCTAACTCAAGTTATCATTCGGAACCATTTACATTGAACTCACCACGGTGACCTTGACCTTTGACCTTTTGACCCCAAAACCAATCCCAACTTGCCTGTACCCAAGGGCAAACCCCTACCTCAGTCAGACACCAAAATCTCATTTCTAACTCAAGTTATCATCCGGAAACCATTTACCTTTAACTCACCATGCTGACCTTGACCTTTGACCTTTTGACCCCAAAACCAATCCCAACTTGCCTTCTCCCAAGGGGAACCCTCTTCCAAAGTTAGACACCAAAATCGCATTTCTAACTCAAGTTATCATCCGGAAACCATTTACCTTTAACTCACAATGGTGACCTTGACCTTTGACCTTTTGACCCCAAAACCAATCCCAACTTGCCTACTCCCAAGGGCAACCCTCTACCAAAGTTAAACACCAAAATCGCATTTCTAACTCAAGTTATCATCCGGAAACCATTTACCTTTATCTCACCACGGTGACCTTGACCTTTGACCTTTTGACCCCAAAACCAATCCCAACTTGCCTACTCCCAAGGGCAACCCCCTATCAAAGTTAGACACCAAAATCTCATTTCTAACTCAAGTTATCATCCGGAAACCATTTACCT